TTTTTGCTTATGTGGTGCTGAGGAATCGAACCCAGGGCCTCAGGCATGCAAGGCAAGCACTCTACCACTGAGCCACCTTCCCAGCCCCTACTTTTAGCTTTTTAATGGTTAATTGGCCATAAGAGTCTCTTGGGGCCAGGCGCTGATGGCTCATACCTATGATCCTAGCTATCAGGAGGCTGAGACCTGAGGATAGCAGTTCAAAGCCAGCCCAGGTAGAAAAGTCCGTGAGACTCTTATCTCCAATAAACCACTCAGAAAACTAGAAGTGGGGTTGTGGCTCAAGTGTTAGAGTGCTTACCTTGAGCTGAAGAGCTAAGAGACAGTGCCCAGGCCCAGAGTTCAAGCCCCACAACTGGAAAAAAAAAAAAAAAAAGAGTGTCATGGGCTTTCTTTGAACTGCAATCCTCAGATTTCAGCATTATAGGCATGATCTAGTGGTGCCCAGCTTTGTGCCTGCATTTTTTATTTTCAGAAACTATTTTTTTTTTGGTTGGTCGTGGGGCTTGAACTCTGGGCCTGGGCACTATCCCTCAGCTCTTCAGCTCAAGGCAATCGCTCTACCACTTGAGCTACAGCGCCACTTCCGGTTTTCTGGTGGTTTATTGGAGATAGGAGTCTCACGGTCTCTCTTACCCGGGCTGGCTTTGAACCGTGATCCTCAGATCTCAGCCTCCTGAGTAGCTAGAATTACAGGCGTGAGTCACCAGCGCCCGGCTTCAGAAACTATTGAGATGATAAATGTTTGTTGTTTTGAGCTGATGAATTTTGGAGTGATCTGTTATGCAGCAGTGCACAACTAATGCATGCCTGTTTCTGAATGTTCAATAAACCTTCCTGAAATATTTTCCTTACTCACTTTCTATTTCTCAGAAAATTTAAAAATAATTTGTGATTACATTCTGATTTGGGTACAATTACATAAGGATAGAATAATTGCAATGATTTGGCATGGATGGATTTTTGTGTATATTAATATAGCTCAATCTATATGTACATACATGTGAATTATAGACACATACATGGGTTATAATTCTAATTACAGTATATCTATATATTGTATTTATGTGTGTATCTATCTGAATTACTGTAACTTTATAATGCCCATAGGCACAATGTTAATATATTAGATGTTTTTAAATGATCTTAATTACATGTTTATTAAAATGAACCTATAATTCCTAGAAGTGGAAGGAAATAAATTGCTGTGATGTCAACTGGGGAGTCCCAGAAAATTCTGGAAATGGAGAGCTTCCACACTAGGTTCAGTGCTTGGACACCTTTTAGCAACAAGTCTTTAAATAGACAGGTGAGTTATATATTATATTAAACTTTACACATGTAATTTGTAAAGTTAATTTTACCATGATGCCTTTTTTTTTTTTTTTTGGTCAGTTGTGGGGCTTGAACTGTGGGCCTGGGCGCTGTCCCTGTGCTTTTCAGCTCAAGGTGAGCGCTCTACCTCTTGAGCCACAGTGCCACTTCCAGTTTTCTAGTGGTTTATTGGAGATCAGAGTCTCATGGACTTTTCTGCCCGAGCTGGCTTTGAACTGTGATCCTCAGATCTAAGCCTCCTGAGTAAGATAGGATTACAGGCGTGAGCCACCAGTGCCCGGCCCATGACACTTTTTGTTTGTATGTTTAGGGGCTTAAACAACTGAGGGTTTGGGCACTCTGAGCTTTTTAGCTCAAGGCTGTGTCAACCACTTGAACCACACCTTTACTCTGGCTTTTTGATGGTTAATTGGAAATAAGACTCTCACAAACCTTGGTGTTCAGGCTCACTTCAACTATGAACCTCAGATCTCATCCTTCTATAGTAGTAAGGACTCTAGGTCTGAGTTACTTGCATGTGGCTATTATATATTGAGTTCATGTTTTTGCTTTTTGTGCCAGTTCTGGCGCTTGAACGCAAGGCCTGGGTGCAGTCCTTTGAGCTATTTTGCTCAAAGCTAGGGCTCTACTACTTGAGCTACAGCTCTACCTCCAGATTTTGGATGCTTCATAGGAGATAAGAATGCCTATGGACAATATTGCCTTCGCTGGCTTTGAACCCTGATCCTTAGATCTCAGCCTTTGCGTGGCTAGGATTCTAGGCATGAGCCTCTGGTGAGTGGCTAAAAGAGTGAGCTTTTATGTGTTTTCAAGATGGAATCTGTTTCCCTAGGCCACATTAACCAAAGTTGAAACAAGAGCTGGGAGTCATTACCTCTTTGTTTTCCTTTCTGTAATTACATCCCTGCCAGTCATTGGCATTGGCCCACCTCACAAGCCCTGGCCTGCCTGCGTCCTTGAATAGAAACAGTGTGCGCTGAAAGCACAACCTCCCTCCGACATATGTTAAAGCACTTTGTGAACTGTAATATGCTGTGCAAATACTCGTTGGAGGTTGTTAGCAGGTTGTCTAAAGATTGCTTGGCAACTGAAAATCTATGGGGCAGGCACAGTAACATATATCCTTTACCTCTCTTCCAGCTTTTCCAGGAAAGAGTTGCTCTGATAAGTCACTGGTTTGACCTGTGGACCAACAAACAACGTCAGGAATTCTTGTTCACAATGCTTTTACGATGCACTAAATCACAATTACGGTAAGGGTAGCCTCGTGATGTAATCATCCTTGGTTCTTAAAACAAAAAGTAGCTAAATGTTTATATAACCTTTCAAGGTTTTTCTTTTCCCTATTTAAGAAAAGAAAAAGTCTTCTTGAAACTGAATTGGAGCCTGGGAGAGTGGAATCTGACCACTTTTCTTACCTTGGAGAGGCTGTGATGATGATGATGATGATGATGATGATGTAGTTGCACAAAGAGATTTCAGTTCCATGTCAGATGATGAGCACAGTGCATTCAATCAATGTTGCCCATTTCTTCATTCTCCCCCCTCCCCCTCCCCTCCCTGTCCTGAAGTTACATAGTCTATTTTTACACGACGTACACTGAATATAAGGGCTGCGTTTGTTCTTCCTTCCTTCCTCCATTTGGGTGCCCTTTCTCTCATTCCCCCGCCCCCCAGCATGCTTCTGCTTCCTGGTATTTCTTTTGTTAAACAGTTCTTTAGTTGTTCAGAGGACTTACACCATTGGATTCTTCTCCCAAGTATATTTCATCCTTTAGTCTGTTTGTTTGAAATGTATATACTTGAGCCCCCTCTGCCGCCCCTTACTTTATTTTTTTTACAAAACAAAAAAAAGGCAATAAACAAACAAAAATCCTGTCTTGGGCTTCAACCAGTACATATCATTTCTTGGGGGGGGCTGATATTGGTACTTTGGTTTTTTTGGGGGGGTCCGGTTATGGGGTCTGAACTCTAGGCCTGGGCACTGTCCCTCAGCTCTTTAGCTCAAGGCTAGTGCTCTACCACTTGAGTCACAGCGCCACTTCTGGCTTTTTTCTTTTTGCTTATGTGGTGCATGAGGAATCAAACCTAGGTCCTCAGGCATGCAAGGCAAGTGCTCTACCACTGAGCCACCTTCCCAGCCCGATATTGGTACTTAAACTTAGGTCCTCAACCTCTCTCACTTAGCTTTTTCTGTGCTCTATTACTTGGGCCACAGCTCTACTTCCAGATCTTTGCTGGTTAATTGGAGATACCTGGATTTGTCTGTACAGACCAGCTTTGAACCCTGATCCTCAGGCCTCAGATCCTCAGATGTCAGCCTCCTGAGTAGTAAGGAGTACAGTCATAAGCCACCTGCATCTAGCTCAACAGTATATTTCTAAGATTCTCTTGATTTGTTAAATTCTTCTTGAAGCTATTAGACAGACAATATATTCTAAATGGGTACCTGATACATAGGAAGTTACTTCATAAGGAATTGTTAAATAATGAATGGATCTTAGAAATATGAGAAGTGGCAATAGTAGTGACATTTAGAGATATGAGCAAGACATATGTTGGTGACCAGCAACCACCACTGTACCCCTTCTCTTAATCTTCCCTTGCCTCTTCTCCTAAAATACTTCAGTGTAGATATTGTCACATTTGCTTGTTGGAATTACACCCAGGGGTAGCTAGGGCTCTGATCAGGAATTGGTACTCTAAGGGTCATTAGCTTTCTCTAGTTTGTAAAGGTCACAGTGTCTCAGTCACTTGACTGTCAGAATCAGTTATTATCAGAGCACCTAGAGGCTTGTTAGCTAGTCAGATAAGTTTTAGATACTGACTCTTTGGTGAGATTAGGGGAAAACAAGATGATTGGGGAATATTCTAGAGAATTCTTCATTGTATCCTAGACCAGATTGAAGAACCCCAGTGGGTCATTCGCAGATCCTTAAGGGTGGTTTCCCAAATTAATGGCTTTTGTGGGCATCAGTCTGGCGGATTTCTGGTGGACTGAGTACAACAACAAAAGTAATAATAGAATTTTCTGGAACATGGTTCTCTTTCTTTCTTTCTTTCTTTCTTTCTTTCTTTCTTGTCTTGCCAGGCCTGGGACAAGAACTCAAGGCCTGGGCACTGTTCCTGAACTTCTTTTGCTCAAGGCTAGCACTCTACCACTTGAGCCACATTGTCACTTCCAACTTTTTCTGTGTATGTGATACTGAAGAATTGAACCCAGGGCTTCATGCATGGTAGGCAAGCGCTCTACCACTAAGCCACATTCCCAACCCTGAAATAACTGAGACAATTTTGTCTCAATTGAATGAACCTCGCCCACAGAGGTGCTCTTATTTCCAAATGTTTATTCAGTTAAACCCTCAGCAAGTCGTCACTGGGAATTAGTTGCTTTCACTGAAGGCAGGTGATGTCACTGAAGCCAGGTGACGTAGACTAAGTTTCTGATTTCTTAGCTACCAAAAAAGATCTGCAAGCTGGGCGCCAGTGGCTCATGCCTGTAATCTTAGCTACTCAGGAGGCTGAGATCTGAGGATTGGGGTTCAAAGCCAGCCCAGGCAAGAAAATCTGTGAGACTCTTATCTCCAATTAACCACCAGAAAACCAGAAGTGGTGCTGTGGCTCAAGTGGTAGAGCCTTGAGCCTTGAGCTGACAGTGCCTAGGCCCAGAGTTCAAGCCCCACAACCAAAAGGAAAAACAAAACAAGAACAACAACAAAAAACTCCCCCAAAGAATCTGCAAGTTGTGCATGACCAAATGGACTTGATTTTGTTTGCAATCTGCCATCCACTCTTCCCTCCTCCTTTTTCTTGCTTTTCCATTTTTGTTGTTGTTGTTGGTTATGGGGTTTGAACTCAGGGCATAGGCACTGTCCCTGAGCTCTTTTGTTCAAGGCTAGTGCTCTATCACTTTGAACCACAGCACCACTTCTGGGTTGTTTTTTTTCTTGTCAGTCATGGGGCTTGAACTCTGGGCCTGGGTGCTGTCCTTGAGCTCTTCAGGGCAAGGCTAGCACTCTACCACAATGCCACTTCTGGTTTTCAGTGGTTATTGGAGAGAAGAGTCTCACACACCTTCCTGCCGGGGCTGCCTTTGAACTGTGATCCTCAGTCCTCAGCCTCTTGAGTAGCTAGATTACAGGCGTGAGCCACTGGCACCCGCCTTCACGTCTGCTTTTTTTTTTTTTTTTTAGTGGTTAATAGGAGATAGTTGTCTCACTGGAACTTTTCTGCCCAGGTTGGCTTTGAACTGCAATCCTCAGATCTCAGCTTCCTAAGTACAGCTACTTAGTTACAGATGTGAGCCCCTACCTATCACATTTGATCAGTCATTTCCCTCCCTCTTCTATTGGGCTCTGAATCTACGAGCACAAAGCGGCTTGTTGGATTGACCTTCCCAGGTGGAGTCCTTAGAAGGAGACAGGCAGCTTCCTGGCTCTGCTGAGTGAGGTTGCAAAGACAGGGCATTGAGGAAGAAACATATAAGAATAGCTATTTGCTTTGCTTCCTTTTATTCCAACTCTACAGCTTTCAGAATAAGAAAAATAAAATAGATCAAACCTCAGGTGCGTAATTGCTTCGTCTCAAGGCTCTAAGAGATAAACCATGTAATTTCAGTGGTCACCACTAGAGGTCAGTAGATCTCTTGTGGTATATTTTGAGGTAGTTTAACATTAGGTATGACACTGGAAACTTTATCCTGTCTCTGCTGCCTCAATTCCTCTGTCAGTGAGACAAGAATATAGAACTAACCCACAGGGGGAATTTCTTTGTTTGGTTTGATATCAGGTGTTTCTGCAGACACCAGTACGTGACTCATAGTTTTATGTTGCTGCTGATTTACGAAAAAGTTGAATATGAATTTATGGTTTCTATGATTTGGCATCCTGAATGCATCTTTAATCTGTAGACGTGGTTTTTGTTGTTCAGTATCAATCAGTTCATTCTCCAGAGTCTGGTTAAACCTTTTCTTACACTTCTTCCTCTATGCCCAGGAAGGTAGACTCTCATGTATCTGAATAATTTTGCTTGTATGTCAACTGCTTTTAAAAGTACAAAGCTGATCTAATCTAGTTTTAGTTAAACCTCAAAGCCCAACACATTTAACCACAACAAACATTAATACAGAGCCAGGCACTTGCAGCTCACACTTGTAATCTGACCTATGCCAGAGGCTGCGATCTAAAGATGGTGGGTCAAAGTCAGTGCAGGCAGAAAAGTCCATCAGACTCTCATCTCTTATTAACCAACAAAAAGCCACTAGTGGAACTATGGATCAAGTGGTAGAGCTCTAGCCTTGAGCACAAAACCTCGAGAGCAGTGCCCAGGCTCTGAGTTCAAGCTCCAGGACTGGTTCAAACAAACAAATAAATGGAAAAAAATATGTTAATACATCTTTATTGAGATTTAATTCACATACAATGAAAGTTGCTAATTTAAGGGTACATTTGGTAGGTTTAATAATTCACAAAAGTGTATAATCACCAGTGCAATCTCAGTCTAATAGTAAGTACCCCTCTCCTACTGAGGGGGACGTACCCCATACACCCAGCTCCTCTCTTTTTAATGTGGTACCATGTCACCACCACCACCACCACCTGGAAGGCCTCCTCTGCCCCTCTGCCACCCAGCAGTGCTTTTACATCTCCATCCAGGCATTCCCTTGCATTATATCACAGGTCCACAGAGCAAACTGCTCCCATGGCTACCTCCTCTGCCTGCCTCCAGACTTCATTGACCTTTCCTGTGACTCCTTAAAGGAAACTGGGCTGTTTGTGTCACACTTGGAAAGATCTCTGAGCAGTTTCTGTTGCTCTCCTGGCCACACTGGTGGGACCGGTTTTAAACTGCTTCTGCTCAGCTGCCAGAACAGCTTTCCTTCTACAAAGACTTTTCATTCTGAGAGCTGTTTGAACTTGCAGCTCTCCTGGGTGGGTGGGACAACATTCACCAACAGGGGAGGAGGGGGAAAGGGAAGGAGGGAGGGAGGGGCAGAGTCAGAGACAGAATTACAGAAAAACAGAGCTACAGATACAAACTCAAAAAGAAAGACAGACATAGAGAGACAGACTCAAAGAATGACAGAGAAGAGAAGAGAGACAAAGAGTTTATGAACAGTCATTGGTCTCTGTTAGGTTGGCCTGGAAAAAATGGCCCCTTCCCCTTTGCTTTCCCTCTGCTCACACATGGCCCTCCCTAGAAGTCACAGCCAGCACCTCTAACCCAGGCAGTGGAAAGGCCCCAGGTTCTGAGG